AAGAGGTGAGAGTACCCACACTCTACCGCCCACCGTTCTACTAACTGTGGTGTACCCATTTATATACTGCTGGGTGGACAGAGGTGGGTGGATATAAGGACAACACAAACTCCAAGGGGCACCCAGAGGCTCCTGGAGGCCTGGGGCAGAATGCCACGCGGCCCCCCCCTTGATTCCACCATTCACAGGCCTCGTTGCGAGGGCCTCTTTCGTCTGAGGCCCAGAGACCAAATGTCCCCCCCCCCCCTGTGCCCTCCGCTATTGGTGCCCCTGCACAAAGACAAAGATCCCCCGTGTAGCCTTAACGCACTTTTGGGGCAAGTGCTGTTAGCGTGCACCTATGAAGGTCGGCACGGCACACGAGTGGGGTGGGTGGCTAGCAACTCACGCCCGGCCACGTTTGCTTCCTCAGTGGCGATGTTTACACACCGCACGAGGAACACATTTGAGGCTGAGTAGACCTAGGGGAGGCCCAGGACCGGTTCAGATATTCGCCACTGTACACTGCGCACGCGCACAAACAACATGTTGTTGAACCAGTTGAGAACACCCAAGAGACCAGGGTAAGTCTCAATTTTAAGAATGACCTTTGGGTCTCAGTCTTCCAGCAGGGGACGATGCTCGCTGCTTGCTGTGTGCATAATCCCAATTGAGTCATTTGCGGGGTAAGTTTCGAATTGAACACATTTGGACCCTGACACTAGCACGCAATGGCCTTTAACCCTTGCGACTGACGACGATGATGGAGAGTCTTTAACGTCCACTGAAGTACACCACTCGTAGGATTATGTATGACTATTGCTATGCCCCCCCCCCCAAACTCCGATCAGCACCGTTGGCTACGCACGGCAAGAACTACGCTGAACGTGCGTACGTGACACGACATTCGCTGGGATAATCAGGGCGGCCCCTGGAATCGAAACCGAAACTGTCAACGTCAAAGGGGGTTCCGGCCTCAATTGAGCATTGAGGCATTCGATCTGTAGTAGGACAACCACCGTTGACTTCCCCACAAAATAGTGAATATTTTATCGACCCCCCACCCACCCAGAGGGATGATGGGCTGAGTCAAACATCCTCCACCCCCACCAGGATTTGACCTCGCAACCTGAGCCACGTGGCCGAAGTGTGCCCTGCAACGTTCAAGGCTACGATTTATTCCGTTGTTGAATCCACGCACACACACAAAACAAAACCAAAGTATCTCCCGTGTAGCCTTAACAGACTGTTGGGGCAAGTGCACACACAGAAGACTCAACTCGTGACATAGCCGTGCACTGTATGCTGTGCGGGCAGAGGGTGCGGTGGCTGGCTCGACTGAACATGATGTGTGCAAACAAATACTGACAAATCTGCCGTAATTTCCGTCATTTCAAGCGAGCGACCGCAAAGCTTGCGGTTGGAAAACTGCGCCCCGACCGAGGTGTTGGCCGCTGATAGCGAGCAAATTCCAAGTGGCGCTTGGCGCTGCTGCCGCTGCTGCTAAACGCGAGCCGAGGGGGTGCTGCAGACGCAGTGCATCGCGTGCGTGCGAGTGCATAGACCAGTGTGGTTCTTCACCTTGACAGCAGCCCATGGTTCTGAATCGTTAAAACGTGTAATAAAAAGAAAACACTTGATGGAGAAAAAGGGGTGATTTTTATTGTTTTATTTTTTTATTAATTTCATGTTTTACCTACGTGACTTTACCGAAAGAACTAAGAGTATGAATCCTTGCAGTCACGAAAGCTTCAAATCTAGAATTAACGTGTAATAATGCTCACGAATGCATAGGATTTGATTAAACAAGGTAGTTGTCTACTTGCTTACCCCGTGCTTAATTTGCCTTTTCGATGATTTGCCTTCTAAAAAAAATGTGGCCATTTCTCGCACCCCCCAGAAAGGGCATCTCGCACCCCCAGGGGGTGCGTGCACCCCCAGGTTGAGAAGCCCTAGAATAGACGAATCCATCAGTTCGTGTGAATGTATGGGGCGCGGTGACCACAGTGGTCAGCGTGCATGCTGCGCGACACTCTGCTCGCGGCCAACACCAGTGACGATTATGTAAACCGGTCCTGGGGCTCGCCCTAGGTCGACTTGGCCTCAAATAAGTGTGTTAACAGCAACACGGAGGAGACAAAGGCGGCTACCCCCCTCTCCCCCCACCCATCCTTCATGTGCCGTTCCGGCCTTAATAGGTGCTTGCTAACAGCACTTGCCCCAACAGAATGTTAAGGCTATACGGGGGATATTTGTCTGTGCGTGCGTGTGATGAAAATGCGGGTGAATCTGCATGCAAATGCAAGTCTTGCGTGAATGTGTAACTGTCTGCGTGTGTGTGAATTTGAGTGCGCGTGAATCTGTGAAATGTGCGGCTGGATGTGTACGCGCGAATTGTGTGTAAATGTGTGAAATGCACGTGCGATTGTGTCAAGTTGTGAACGTGTCAAGGAGTAGTTGTGTATGAATGTGCGAAAGTGTGTGCGTACGTGTCAATGTGTGTGCCAATGTGCGTGCTTGTGAGTGACCATCAGTGACGATTATTTGAACCGGTCCCCTAGGTCGACTCAGCCTCAAATGAGTACCTGGTGTGGTGTGCAAACATCGTCACTGGGGAAACAAAGGCGGCCGGGCGTAGTGCTAGCCACAGTGCCGGCCTTCAGAGCAGCTCGCGAATAGCACTTGCCCCAACAGTCTGTGAAAGGCTATAGGGGGGAGGGGGGATCTTTGTCTTTTGTTTGTTTGTGTAGTGTGCATGCTATCGGGTAACAGCTGGAGACTGTGTGGACTTAATCTCAATCTGGTCTCCAGTGTTAAGTCATTGACAACACTTGCAAGGGTCTTTTAGTAACATTTGCTGATAACTGTCTGAGTTGTACTCCAGCAACTCGAAGTGAACAGGCTTTGCCCGATTTCTGTTTGCATTGGCATCATACTCCTCAAAAGGCAAACCACTTTATTCGCTGATACGCGCAATTAGTTAGCACTAGACTCATTTATTACTTTAGGATAAGCGCAGACAGGACTCTAAAGAATAATTAGGGAAAGGTAAGTTCTATTTTATGGACATATAATGAGGAAACAACAGATTGATTGGGGGGAAATTAGAATTACAATTATTAGGTACGAGCTCGCAAATGAAGCGCGGAGGCAAATTTGAACAATTGCATGCGACTGAGTGTATCTGTAATGCACAGCTCTGGAGTGACATCAGACCATAATCACCGACACGTGTGAGGAAGGTCATGGCGCGTGGAAATATATCTCGCTACTATTACGTTCATCTTTAGAGCTCCCCACCCCCCCGCCCCCCGAGGTATAACAATTAGAATGTGCGTCGGTCTCTCGGTGGCGATCAGATTTGCGGTAAGAAGGCATGCAATGAATCTGAATTTGAGAAGTCGCTGGGATGGCGTGAATACAAATGAGATTGGGAGAGGAAAGCTGGTCACGTGAGGGTAAACATAAAACGCGAGGCAGAGTCTTGGCTACGACACCGGCTCACAACCGGTCGCAGTTTCACAAAAGAGGATGTCACCAGCGTGGGATTGTTTTTAAATCCTTTATATTAAGTTCACTTGCTTGCTTGCTTGCGCGCTTACGACCGTGCAAATCTTTCGGTCGTTTTTTAACCCACTTCCCGTGATACAATCGAGCTGACATTTTGCACACAGACTCGTTGTGCGTGACAATTTATTTTCGTGAAATTTTTTCCCCAAAATGTTACACTTTTTAGGAAAAAATAAATTATATTTAATTACCAATTGCTTAATGGTGGCAGGCAATCATCTGACCCATAGGTGGCAGCCATCTCAAGCCAGAGGACGAGAGGACTCTAGCCGCCAAGCATATAAAAGATTTATAGTGAAAAACTTTGTTTTTACGGGTTCTACTTTTAACGTTCAGTTCAAATCACTGGGCGCAACTTCGGTGATTCCCCCCCGGCTCTTTTTCCACCACCCCCACCCACCACCCCTCTTGCAAGGAACTATTGGTCATTTGCGGGGAAAAATAAACAAAATGCAAACTTTAAAAGTCGTTTTCATATCAACGATGAAGCAAAGGTCACCACGGCTTGAGGGACACGCTATGTGCCGCGATTAGAATTGGGTGAAAGCACGTAGCCCTAGAGGGCAGTTGAAAAAATTAAAGTGAGTTTGGCAAGGCGACCAGAGTGACACATTAGCAAGGTCAAGGATAGCCCCCCACCCCTCCTCCCCCCGATGTAACTCTGTCATCACCACGGTTTACAATGATGCGGGAAGAACGCCTTTTTTATATAAAAATATATTAATACAATTTAAACACGTAGGCTTTCGCGACCATTCACATCCATAATAGTTTTTTTTGGGTTAGTAAAGAATTTGCATATTCTATGTACGTGACAAACCTTACTAATTCGCTGTGTCGGGTGGTGGCGGGTTTAACGGCACATTTATATTTACGCAATCCACCACAAAGGACATCTAGTATGGATATGAATACAAGTTGAGACGGTTCTGGCTTTCCAGCCACAGAATAATGCGTCCTTAACCGCCACCTTGGGTGTCGTGTGAACGTAAATCGAGTTTCGTTCATGCGGTCCGTTCCCGATTGGATGATGGAGTCTGTCACCGCACGCGACGCCTATTTCACACCAACTTCCTCAGGAGATGATTGCGGCCTTATGGACTTAACAGCTCAAACAACTGCCTCCACCCCCCCACCCCCTCGCTTAAAACGCATTGCTTCCAACAAAATACTAAATTGACCGCGGTTACATTCATACTCCGTTTCCAAATAGGACTTAGTGGTTTTTTTAGGAAGGATGTGTAATTATTTTTTCACCAATCCTGTAGATTTGTTTTTTTCTTTAATTCGATGAAATTTTTTTATATCGTTTTTTTATTGTATACATTTTTTTCCTTCAATCGACTGGGAATCTCAGTGTGCGTACAATCAATTTGCAAGAGGGACGGAAACGCGTGGAGACAACCACCCACCAATCGCGCCGCACGACACGAATGGCAGAGACGAGCGCGTCGATGGGTTATTAATTTATTCCAAAACAACAACAACAAACTTACACTTCTCCACCCCACCCCCCTCCAGGGGAACACCACAACAACAACAACAAACAAACAACAACAAACACGGGGAGAGACGCATATCGAAAAATATTGCATCGGTAAAAGACACAACTTCGTTTACAGTATAAAGAGAAAATAAACATCCCCCAACAGGAAGGAAAAAAAGAACGGACAGAGCAGTCCAATTCACCATCGCACTGCACCGTAACATCCCTTGCCACTCCGTGTTAACTTAGTTCATTACAGTTCAAACATCAGCCTTTACAGAACTATACAATATTGCTTTTTTTTTATTTAAGGCTGGTTGTGCTTCTTTAATAAAATAAAAAAAGACAAGATTAGCGTGTAATGTGCATACACAACGTTAGGGTTATTTTGTTTCTACTTTTTGTACAACCACTTCCAAAAACAACAAACTCAAACCCTCGGCGGTTAGAAATCGGGTCCACGCTATCGCAGACGATCTCCGGTGGTCGATGTGCACAATGATCCAACACACGACAATGAGAAAGGGGGTTAGACACCCCCCCCCTCCCCTCCCCTGGGGAAGATTCAATAAATACTGTGTACGTCTTCTGTGGACGACCTACAGGAGTTGTTGCTGCTCTACGGGTGCTCGGGTTAGGGTTGTTGTCCGACCGAACGAGAAGACTTGCACGCTACGTCAGTAAACTTATCACCGGCGTGGAGTGCGGGAGGGGGGGGGGGGTGTTGTACATACCTTGAACAAGTTTACTCTTTAGACGAAATGTAATTTTTCTGCAAAACTTCGAGAGGACAACTGTAAATTATAGCTGTTTTTTAACTAAATCTAAAAATCGCCTAATTCTAAATTGCTTGTTTTTAGCTTGGTCTAGAATACCACACCCTCGAAAACGCAAACAGGCCTCTACACCGCCGAGCCTGACCGCCACCAAAGCCTCGCTCATTTTGGTCTCCTAAGAATAAAAGGATCGTTTATCCGCGAACGCGACGAAGAGAAAAAAACAACACCCGGAGAGAACGCGCGGCCACGCGGTCGCGTGGCGGACGAGCGTGAGCAGCGCCCGTCGCGCCGCCGCCATCGCTACGACGATGCTTGGAAGCGCCGCCCTCTTCTTCGTTTCTCTCACAGAACAAAGTTCCGCTCACGACGACAACGAGAGGCCGTGGCTCGCGCGCGCAACAACAGCGCAACGCGGCGATGCAACAACGCGCCGCTCCCTCGAGTCAAGTCCACCGGGCCATCTCTCTCCCGTTCGCGCACGGCTGCCAATCCACGGGCCCGAGTGAGCGGGCGACTCGCTCGGGGAAAAATAAAACGCTGGTGAGACGTGGCACAGAGCAGAGGTGGGCAGCAGCGCCCCCGCCTCCCCTGCCCCCCTTCCCCCCCGCCCTCTTCCACCCCGTGCCGGCGACGGGAGGCGAACGGACGGACGGTCGAAAACGAAAACTCTGGATCCAAGTCGACTGCCGCCGACTGCCACCGCCGCCGGCACATCCTGCTGCGCCGCCGCTGTCGTCCGGCGCGAGCGGCGTTACTTCTCCACCGGCGTGGACGGCCCGCCGCTGTTGGGGGGCGACTCCCGCTCTTTGTCCACCGACGCGATGACCCCTGGAGTGGGTTGGAGGGAAAAGTAGGGGACAGGCACCGCGACAGTCAGCAAAAAATCCGTACAGCGTCTGGAGAGTCAGTGGAATTGAGACGCTTTCGACATTCAATACGCGTGTTCTCTCTATACATTGCAGCATCGCACGACTATACAATAGGGGGTCGATTGTCCAATAGGGGACAGAGAATTACTGAAACTGCTGCCGATAAAAAAAAAATATCAATGATGCTTTTGTTTTGAGTCGATAAAGTTGTTTGGTCGATACAGTTGTTTGGTAATTGTATATATTACATTAGCTTGTGTATTTATACATTTACCTGAGGGCGGGCAAAGGGGCAGGATGGGTCGATACATTTGTTTTCCAAACTTTAATTCAGAACCCTATTCCAAAGACAAACAAAGTCTCCCGACTCGTCCGAGACTTTGCCGAACCGGGTCGCGATCCCAAGAACTCATCCCCGCTACGCGAATCGCTCGCTCGCGACGCACGGCACGGACACGGCACGGACACGGCACTGACGCGGCACGGACGCCCGCCGCTCACCTTCCACGCGATCCCAGTGCGCCCTGGCCGCCACGGCGGCCGCGTCCTCCTCCCTGTCCCTGGCGAGGTCGTCCCTGGCCGAGGGGAAAGCGTCCTCCTCCTCTTCCTCCTCTTCCTCCTCCTCCTCATACTCCTCCTCGGACAGCAGCATGCCCTCGGGCGGCCAGCGCAGCTCGCCGCTCTCCACCTCGCCGCCGTCGATGGGCTCCACCACGATGGAGGGCAGGCGGCCCTTGGTGCTTAGGCAGTAACCGTCGTACGTGTCGTACGGGTCCGGGAAGATCTGCCGCGACGATGCCGGGACACGGTGCGGGGAGGAGGAGAGAGAGGGGGGGGGCGGATTCGTTAGTGGCCGGCTCTACCCTCGCCGAACACGAGGCTCCAATAGGTGGCGGTCCTGCCGTGGTGCCGCCAGTGTCACGTGACGCGCCGCCACTCCACCGTCGGTGTGCACATCGCAGAATAAAACTAAGAGAGCGGCAACGGTTGCCCGGTACGCACAAACCCAGTCCCAACTGAGCCCCACCCAGCCCCACACCCAAATTTAAATCGCTTTCCTACCTCCTCTGAGCTACTGGACGTGGATTCAGCAATTGGAATGAATATGACGTCCGACTCCTGCAAGGTGCGATGTTGGCAGTTGATTATTAAGCAATTTATTATTCTGTCCCCTCCGCAGAAAAATTCCTTTTGCTGTGTGGGGTGGTGAGGATGGGAGGTGGGGGGTGGCGGTGAACTATGGAACTGAGCAACCAGAGTTCAATCCCTGGTCATGGTACAACACCAATGGCGAGTGACATCCGTCCACCGTACCATTGACTTTTGCCATCAGCTAAATTGAGGCATCAGGAGACACAGATACTCTGCAGAGCCACCGACCGACGCGCAAATCTCTCCGCAGAGCTTTTGGGCTGTACTGCGCGCGGTTTGGCACCATGTCCGACGTTCCACTCCACGTGCCCGGGGTGCTTCTCCAGCTAGACAACGAATAAACACCTCCGTCTATGGTCTCCACCCACCCACCCACCGACCCACTGACCCCGCGTGGAGCCGAGCAAAACTACAAACCCAGCGGGGCACCGGACTCTCGTGCGATGAGTGCTGAAAACCGCGGCATGTGATGCTGCGTAAAACACCGACGTCCCCAAAGGAGGGACGATCGAAATGTCACGAGCACGCTACTTCCTGTCGTCGGCATTTAATTCGGTTGTTTCATGTAACCGACCCCTGATGTCCTTCCTTCTCACCGCTTCCTCACTCTCTCCCCCTCTCCCCGAGCGATGGCAGTCGCCCCCCGCTTACATAATCGGCATAGCTCGGTGGAGATTTATCGCCCGCGCGAGCTGGCATCGCCGTCGCCGTCCGTGACGCCACGAAGAGGTCGAACAAGGGAAGCCGTGCGGGGATTACAGAGGGGACGCAGATTGCGTAATCGGAATGCCCGACCGTCTGTGGCTGCCCGCCCTCACTCGGACATTCGGACGAGGGGTCGTCGAGAAAGCGATAGGATGGGCGGGCGAACCCTCGCGTCGTCCATGCCATGTGGATTATGGTGGGTACGGCGTGTGTTTTGGTACACTTCACGGCGGTCGGTGCGGGTCGGCGAAGGAGATGCGGTGCAGAAAGGCCGGCTCGGATACAATTCGCCACCGACGTTAGCCGTGGCTTCGACGTGAAACTCACGGCGACTGTGGCACAGAGATTCGGGGGAGGTCGTCGAGTAATGGCGTCCCTCGGTGGCCGAGAGAGATTTGGATGGGCAAAGAATGCCGGTCCCGCAAATATTGCCGCATCGAGAGAATTCTGGATCGGTATCATTCCCGCTGGGTGGAGAGGTGGAACGGGGGGGCGTGGGGGTTCAGCTGGGCCGCACTCTGAACTCAGCGACCCGAGTTCAACTTCCGGCCACGGCTAACATCAGTGGCGAGTCAAAAGTCAGAACCGGTCGCGTCCCTCCCGCCCCACAATTCCCACTCCTCCCTCCTTCCTTCACCAAACCACAATGACCGGCATGGTGAAGTATGGCCAAACTTCTGCCCTCGGTCAAACGTTTTATTTCCATCGGACAAAGCCACCCCCCCCCCCCTACCTCACCACCCTCTCACCCCCCCCTCACCACCGTTAGCCATTCCATTAGCAGTTCCATTAGCAGTTGGCTAATCCATCTTACGCATCGTCAGCCAGTCATTGGCCGGTCGGGTTCGTAACGTGTGTGTGTGGGGGGGGGGGGGGCACGCCGATAGCGCGGCGCGCTGTTGGACGCGTGGAAAAGATCTGGGCCGGCGTTCGGAGAGAGGAGCGATTGAGCTGTTCCACTCGGTGACGCATTAACTGCCTCCGTGTTCAGTACGGGGACGGCTTTTGGAGTCCGAGTCACGAGCTATCATGGACGAGGTTTACCTTTGTACCAAACTTGCTGCGTCGACAAAACTCACTTACCAACAGAGAACATCTCAGGTTTCAGTCACACATTTAACCCACCCCTATTGCGCGCAAAAACCCCTCCTCCTCCTCCCACCGTTCCTCGCTCACGTAAGGCACCAACAATTCTGGGATTGTGATGGTAATGGCGCTAATTGATAAGAGTATTTGATCGATGGTGTTGATTGAACGGGAGAATACGAAGATGACGGACGATGATAATATTGATGGTGAGATTATTGTCGTGGTGGTGATTGATGATCATGGAGGTCGTGGATATGATGATAGGGATGATGATGATGGTGGTGGTGGTGATGACAGTGGTGATTCGAGGTGCGTGTGGTCAATCAACGTTTTTTTTCCGATCGTTGGTTCATTAGTCAACGCCGGAGTTCACATTTCATGAGACGAGACCGTTTTTTCCATATACAGTATAAGCCTATATATACACATCCCATTAATCTGACAGCGTAAAAATCCGCGGAAGCTGCCTTGAGGCTTGGGGGACTTTTGGGAGCATATTCTATTTTTACGCACTGTATATTTCACACTTTGTCGTTCATAGAAACGTCTCTCTTCCCAGCTCGGGGCTTGTGTTTTTTTTGTTGCAAAGAATAATAATATACACAAATCAAATATCCATCCGCTTGAGAAAGGGTTAGGCTTCCACGGATGTCTATCCCTGTGGATTGCGGCAGCGTTGGAACATTTGAGTCATTAACGGCACGGCCTATGGGCTTGCTTGCTTGCTTGGAGCATTATAATAATGCCCTTTGTGTACAGTCAGCGTTACCGAGGCCATAGATTAATTGGAAAACTAAAATAAAAATTCCAAGCAATCTCCGGGGAAATTGGAAAGAGGAGGCAAAGTAGGAGAGGGTTTTTTTTTTGTTTTTGGGAAAGAGTCAATGCGCGGGTGATGTAATTCTATCCGAGTTGCTAGGCAAAACTTTTTTTTTCCGAAGTGACATGCGATAGGGGGGGCGGGCCGGGTTAAGAGAAAAGTGGCTCAGAGCCAGGGGCCGTTTAATTATTAATTATATTATAACTCACTAGCCCTTCGTCCGTCTCTATCCACTGCTGGTTGGAAAGGATCGTCTTCCCGTGCCGATTAAAGGGTGGAGTGGATGCTTGACCATACTTCACCACGCTGCGGAGTGAGGAGGGGCGAGTCAAGACCGACTCGGATATCGCTCGCCACACATCCTCGCCGTGGGCCGGCTATTGAACTCTGATGATCCAAATGCGCTCGGGTTGGTTACAAGTTTGTGCTTTTCGTCTGTTCATTAAATGACGCTGCTACCATCCCGACCAGCCCTGTTCGATTCCTGCCTCGGGTACGGCTACTCTCACCCCCCCCCCCCCCCCAAACTTGCGACTTCTAAACTGCACTCGATGTATTCTTCTTGGTTCTTTCGGTAAAGTCACGTAGAATGGAAACAATAAAATTAATAAAATAAAACATAATAAAATAATTCTCACGACGTTTCGGCCACAACGTAAGCAGCCGTCATCAGGTGAAGACCAGGTCTGTCGGGGGAGACAGCGTCACCTGGTCTTCACCTGATGACGGCTGCTTGCGTTGTGGCCGAAACGTCGTGAGAATTATTGTATTGTTTTATTTTATTATTTTTATTGTTTCCATTCTATGTGACTTTACCGAAAGAACCAAGAAGATGAATCCCTGCAGTCACGAAAGCTTTAAATCGAAATATGCACTCGATGTATTTTGAGTATATTTCATTCGGCATAGCCACGCGCTAACATAACAATTAACAGACACGCGTACACTCACCCCACTCCCATCATGTGGTGCGCTGCCGCCCTTAATAGGCACTCGCAAACATTCACCGACCGAGGGGGCCTCACCTGGAACGGGAGGCGCGCATCGCGGGTCTTGAAGCTCAGGTCTTCCATGGCGGATTGGCTCATCATCAGCTCGGTCATTCTCCCAGTGGCGATGCCGGGGACAGGTGTACTGTGTGAGCTGGAACACGCGGGCAAACATGCAACACGGACCCAGGTCACACAGTGCACGGCGGCTCGGGATGACAGACACAGCCTGCTTGTCTTTCAAGAGCTGAATGATCTCTCAGCAGCAGCAACAGCAGCAGCAGCCACGTGGAGCGAAACGTCAGATCTATCGCCGAACGCCACGCGGAGCAAACCAGAACGCACATCAGATGGCACATGCGGCTACAGCAGCGAAAAGCGACGTGGCCGTAGTGGTGGTAATACTGCCCACAGAGGATGTTTGATATTGATGCTGTAGTTTCATCAATGCTGTATGAGCGATGCCATCAATATCACCCCACCCATTGTCATCAATAATCACCACAACCTATATTCAGAGCCCATACAAAGAGGGCAGGCAAACATTTCTTCGCAGATTCAAATACGGACGAACGGAGAATAATAATTTAAAAACACGTCCATTTCAAAACACGAGCCTGTACATTCGAACACACAAAACAAGAAAAAAAAGAGGCAAGATTCTAAATATGGAAGTGTACGAGATGATTTCCCTGCGGGCTAACAGTTGGCAGCCAGGAACAAGTCAAATTCTTCACGTCATATTATTCACACGCGGTTGGCGATTCACCTTTTCCGCACGAATAGTTTTGTTTGAAACGGACCCCTCTGCCTCTAAATCCGTCTCCATAATCGCCACCACAATCATCATCATCATCATCACCATTTTCACGTTCACCAACAATGCGGAAGATTAAAAAAAAAACTGATCGTACAACACCGTACATTTATTTTAGCCGCGACAAAAAGAGTTCCCACGAGCTACCAACCACAACGGAGGTTGCAATTGCGGCCTCGTTTAGCTGCACAGTCGCAAGACCACGTGCCCCACACACCCCCCGCCCGCCCGCCACTATAACCCTGCAGGTGGAACACGTGCAGCGATCAGTGTCTCTCGCTCTCGAGCGCGTTTAACCCACAGACGACGACCACCCCACCTCGATTGGCACGGTTGGCTACGTACGGCGCGAAAGAAGTCCACCGTCCTTCGACGAAACGACCCGTCTTTTTTTTCGGTTAAGATTTTTACAAGCTTCCGTTTTGTGCGAGACCGTCCACCCACACACCCCACTCCCGACTGGAGCCACGCCAGAGGGAGAGGGCATCGATTGCGCTGAACAACGAACGCGAAGTCACAGCGGGAACGATCGCATGGCTCTCTGCCTGCTCTCTGCCGGCGCTTAGCGTCACGACTCCACGGAAGGGAGGGAATGTCTCGGTTCACCGATGGTGGCGGTAATGTGTGCGAGTGTTTAGCACGAGGCTTGGAGCAATGCGAAAAACATTTTGGAGGTGGCACTGCCGAAATAGGACGGATCGAAAATCGAACTCCACGCCCGTCACGTGCCGTTGGCCATCGTTTGACTGACAGCCGTTTGACTTTTGATTTTCCTTAAGGCTACTTGCTTACAATCACTGCCCCGCGTGTATTCGTGCCAAACGAATATCGCCCTTTCTAGCCAACCGTTCTAGAATAACATCATTGAAACATGTTACTTTCAAAAAAAGAAAATTACGGTATGAAAATTCTCTCAATCAAAGAGACCACATTTGTACTCGCCACTTAAATCTTGCATCACCTGTGGAAATCTCGCGCCGTGGATATAATCGTAAACCAGAAGACATCGTGTCCTGTTCTTTATAAGTGCCCGAGCGAGAGCTAGATAAATCGTCGGACGAGAACGGCGCCGGACAAACGCAGAGTGTGCCACGCGCACTCTGCAGCCTCACAACTCCTGCCACCAACAGGCTGTTTGGGGTGGCAACTGCTGTTAGCGAGCTCCTATTAACAGGAGGGCGAGCACTGCACTGGGGGGGGGGGGTGATGAGACCACGTGCCCTTATGTTAGCACCACGGCCCGGCCGCCTTTGTCTCCCCAGTGGTGATGCTGAACAAAGAACACCAGCGCACAGAGACAGCGATCTCCCACATCGCCTTTAACAAGAGTGTTGGTGGCAAAGTGCTGTTAGCGAGCACCTACGCAGGCCGGCACGGCTACACGAGGGGGCTGTGGATTGGCCAGCACCACGCCCGACCGCCTTTGTCTCCCCAGTGGCGAAGTCTACAGACGGCAGCGGGACACCCATTCGAAGCCTCGTCGACCAGCAAGCACACAGCACAACACGCATACTCACCGGGTGAGCTTTGCTTGTTGCTAAGTAAACTCCACAAGGGGTACGTTTTCTCTGTCGGGAGTGAGGATCCGCGGATGGGATGGGCGAGCAAGCGAGTGAGTGAGCACGGCGGGGGAGGGAGGGGAGCTTGGAGTTATCTCTTTTGATAATGCCCCAAACTATGGAGCCACTGAACACCCGAAGCGTAGTGGCAAACTGCTCGCTTCTCGCCCACGGACACCGCCTTATATACTGGCCGGCCGCCGTGCCGTCAGCACCCGCCCCTCTCTACATCCCCCCCCACGTCACCGGCAAATTCTAAATGCGGCTCCCAGGGTGGTGGGGGGAGGGGCGAAGTGGAGGGGAGTGGGGGAGGGAGGCGGGGCGGGGCGGTTAGACCCAAAAAATTTTATTTCATGGCTTGGGCATTTTGTTCGCGTCGAGTATAGTTACATAATCTCGCGTGAATTGAACCTCAACCCAACCAACACAACCGCCGCGTGCAATGAACGCAGCGCTTGTCTCGCGATTTTATTTCCGTGTTGCGCCGTAAGATGTTAACGACCTGGCCAGGTATACAAGATGTCGTAGGTTTCGATCCCGAACCTGACGCCTGCCTGCCTGCTGTATACGTGGAGTTTGCGCGTCTCTATCTCTCACCGTCATTACGGTGGCTAGGAGATGTTAACTACCTTGCCTGGTATACAAGAGGTCGTAGGTTCGATCCCGACCCCTGGACGCCTGCCTGCTGTGTATTTGGCGTTTGCGTGTCTCTCTTCTCTCTGCCCGTGGTCGCGTCAAGTTTTCTCCCTCCACATTTAGAAACGTGCATTTAGAGAGTATTTGGTTGGCTGCTGTACATTTCCGCGTGATAAGCCACTTCGTTGAGCTATCATTTGTGGCCAGGGCACTTCTGAGAAGAAATAGCTGTATAGCTCAGTGGCCCTTACACCTGGTAAATAAATATTGTTTTCATGTTGCTGCTGCGTTGGCAGTGATGCACAAGCACCATCAACAAACAACAACAACTAACTCAATTCGTCAACAACACTGTGACATTTTAAATATTTATTTTAACGGCGACGTTTCGGACAATGGCCGTACTTCATAGCCCACTCATGCGATTTTTGTTAAAATGTGTTTGTCTTCTGACTTCTAACGACTTCGTTGCGCCGCCTTTTATTTCTTGTTGCTTTTGTCATTTTTGGTGACCCAGCTCACCACTGTCGCGGATGACGCCCTCCTGGTTTCTCGAATCGTCAGATGGTTCTGACAAACTCAACTTGAGCTTTACGCCGCGGTGTTAATGCCGAGCACCGCTCGGAGTTCCAATCCAGACAGGTCCCCGGTTCAAGTTTTAAGTTAACGACGCGTCGCCAATGACCGTGTTTCTGAACCATGTGGCACAGCAGATAGTACTTTAAAAAAACACAAGACAAATCTCAACGATGTTCACACCTCTTGTTGAACAAGAATGCACACATGTATCCGAGTGCTTAAAGAGGATGTATGTACGTGCATGATTTTGAACAAATAAAATATATACTGTCACATTGTCAAGCCACTGCCGAATGAAGGTCGCCCAACGCTCCGTCCAGCATTGAACTTTGACCATAATTGACCAGGCTGTTGGATGTGTTTAAAAAAAATATTTATTTAATAATAATAAACATTTCGATTTAAAGTTTTCGTGACTGCAGGGATTCATCTTCTTTATTCTTTCAGTAAAGTCACGGCTGCCTGCGTTGTGGCCGAAACGTCGTGAGAATTGTATTTTATGATGTTTTATTTTTTATTATTGTATTATTTACCTTCTACGTGACTTTACCGAAAGAACCAAGAACATAAAAAAACATTTAAACTAGATTCGAAGCTTTCGTGGCTGCATATTTGTTACAGTTTTTTGTGAGCGTAATTAAACACATTGAATGACATGTTCTCATTAGTCCGAAAGGATCAATTGCTGATGGCTAAAGACAATATATTTATATGTATAATATATATTTATATATGGCTGTGTACTTATTCATGAGTACCGTTGGGAGTTGAGCGTCTTGGTTAAGTGCGACGTTCTTCATCACAAGGCCCGCAGGCAACTGGCGGCCCCTGGTGGCCTTTATTGCGTGGCTCTGACAACACAAATTGGTGACCCCCCCCCCCCACCCATCATCATCATCGTGCTGCTGTCAAGCGCCGCAATGTTGTCAAACAGTGCGGCGGCTCTCACACGGATGATGTCTTATCGGCGAAAGTACCCCCCTCTCTCTGAAAATTAGTGAAGGACCCTGCGCTAGAGTTCAGAGATTTCAGAATGCGATGTCGAATGAGGACATATCACGGGTTTCATTCCCTTCAGGAGAGCTCTGCTACGTTTTGATGCTTCGGCGAATTCCCAGAGAAACCGGAGAAAGCCCCCCCCCCCCCACACACACACGAGGGGATAATGCTGCTCAGAGGGCTGACATAAAAAGAGTTCACTAACCCATCCTTGCTGCACTGCCACCACCTGGCCATATTCCAGTCCAGCGCGTTTGGGAGTTCAACTACGTTATCACTTTAACACGTAGCAGGCTTTCGTGACCAATATTATTCATAATCAATGTTTTTGGGTTTAGATCGCGTTATTTATAAATGTGTCGTAACCCTCCACCACCCGACACGGCCAATCAGTAAAAAGTGTCACGTTGACAAAAGACATTTTTTTTAAAAATACAATACTGTTACAGTGACTGTAATCAGTATGCCTACAACAAGCATCACGGCAGCTTTGAATTATCACATATTAACATGGCAATAACATGTATTGACATAATTTATAACGGAAAAAAACACCCCTCCGTCGAAAGGATTCATCTGCAGCCAAGATCAATCCACTGCCGTCGCCATCTCTCACGGTCTTTGCGATGTAACGGCAAGAAAAAAAAAACAATAATTTCACGGCTCCATCTCCATAGCGGTCCGTCCTCCCGCGCCAGTCGGGTTAGGTAAGAGTAACCCTTACGCCATAAACGCGCAATTAAAGTACACACACACACACTCACCCTTTCCGTCGGACGTCAGCTGACAACATTCACGTTTCTTCGGTTGTTCTTTCCCTTGGCTCATCGCGCAATTATCCACAGACACGTGTGCAATAGCACCGAGTGTTACTCACAGTTTCCGCGTAATGACTCACCCTGCATTTGCATGGCGTAGACCAGCTGCGTGGTGAACGAATCGCTGGTGTCAATGGACCCATCGCTCGTTGGTTCGCTTATGACGAACCCGGTCTGGCCAGTTTGTTGGAACCAAGGTGGTGGCCGTACAATGGTGAAGGTGACACCACTGTTAACGTAATGGGGGCCTCCTTTGATGAACTTTAGAGAGAATAGAGAGAGACCCTCCAAGCGAGAGTGTTCGGTTAGATCTTGCACGCTGGCCGGAGCGTCTCGAGTGGATGCATGAGTCCTCTTCTTTTCCTTCTTACTCCTCCTCCTCCGTGTGGAATTTCTGGGGATTGCAACAGATGACAAATTGATGCCGAGATTTGAAATCCCGTTCGACCGCTTCAGGAGGGAGCCGCGTGCATTTGTTTCAGGTCGCCGTTGAAACACGGTTAACATGGGTACCCGAAATTCGCTACACTATAACACATTGTCCTGCGGAGGGAGCTGGTAGGAACGTTCGGTTGCTCAGTCAATGGTCAACGGCGGCGTGGTGTATTCCGCAAATATGGCCGACTGTGAGGGCGGGCACAAGCCGGCGTGAGTAGGTTAAACGTTGAGTTTTATAAGGGCACCACGGGGTGACCAGCCCTTCCCTACCCAGCCCCACCCCCCACCCAGCCCCACCCTCCCCACCCAGCCCCTCCCCACCCTCCCCTCTCCACCCAGCCCCTCCCATTTTTGGATGCACGAAGGACGGACGGACACAATAATCTCCTGTGGGCTGGTGGAACCAGGTGGTTCCTACCGGTATTATCCGCTCGGTGCGATCGTTCACGACATGTCGCACCGCTACAGTCTCACGTTGGACTCTCGTTAATGCTCCATTTGGTGGAGCATTAACGACTCGTACTATTAAATGACTCGTACTATTATTATTTTTGTTGTTGTTGCTGCAAATTCCTTCAGGAACCCGCTGTGCTCGTTCTCCGCAATGGCTTAGTCTTCGTTGTCCCCGTGTTCACGCACCACGGACCCCGCTTGTAAAACAGCCGGGAAACCGACAGCGGCATCCGTGTAACAAAGTAAATACATTTTGATTTAAAGCTTTCGTGACTGCAGGGATTCATATTCTTGGTTCTTTCGGTAAAGTCACGTACCGAAAGAACCAAGAATATAAAGTAAATACATTTAAACAATTTGATGGCGACAAATTGACTATTTGATGGCATTCTGGCTACGGGGTTCGCTTCAATAATAACAATAGTTTTTAAAATATATATATAAATATTGCAGTTGTTTGTCTGTCCCGTTCATCACGTTGTGACGTCGTCGTGCAATGCTGTACTCGATATATTCCAGCCACTCCAAATCCACCAATGGATGAAGGCCTCTTCTACGCCATGTCGGTCTTGATTGCTTTATTTTGACCATACTTCACGTTGGTTAGTACGGATTGGTGAAGCGGCGGCTGGTCATGGATGGGGGGGGGGGGCAGGTGGTAAGGGTGGGGGTGGAGACAGGACTCGTCTGACATCACTTGCCAATGATGACCGAGACTCGAACTCCTTGGATGGACGGGTATCATCGTTCCAGGCACTAAACCGCTGTCCCAACCGCTCTACCCCAAGGGATGATTGCATGCAAATTTACACGGAACTGAGATGCAGAGATTCGTGCGATGCAGCCATTAAACCGCGATGTCACCATTCTCATTCCACCCGTTGTCATTTTCCACACCCGACGCTTTGACGGCCATTTGTCAAACCCAGAGCCACAGCGACTTCTAGTGGAGGCCAGCGAAACTTCAGTTTCAATTCCTGCCGAATATAAACTGAACCGTAAACTAAACCTACCTTTCATTTGACCAGCTAAGGCCCACTGAGCGATGTGGCTCTCTTTTCGGGAAGTGACCCGGCCACAAATGATAGCTCGACAAAGTGGCTTATCACGTGGAAACGTATTGCAGGAGCCAAATACTCCGAACGCGTGTTTCTAAACGTGAAGGGAAAAACCGGATGACGCGGAGAAAAATCGGTGCGACCACTGAGAGAGAGAGAGTCCGAAAACTCCAAATCTACATG